ACATATCATGTAGAGATATGTATTAGACTTTGTCGAGACTTTGTTAATACACATGCTTGATAATTCAATCTTTGACTCCTTTCAACTATTACGTCGTAAACTCAGTAATAGGGTTGGGGCATATGCCGACATTCTTTCGAGAAAATTTTGACTCGTTTCAATCTTTGAGATTGTCAACTCCTTTTTTTTCCCTCCATTTTTTTTTTTTTTTTTTGAAATCTTTACGGTGCAATAACCATTTTTGCTCCACTAGTGACAGAAGTAAAATATCATTTGATAACATTTTTATTGGTTTAAAACGAGGATTCGTTATTTATATGGTGCACGGCCTGCTCATACAATCATGCTATAACATTTTCTTAACTATGGAAATAATCTACATCTATTAAATACTTGATCGAAATGAAATTAGATTACCCATTAGATTCTGATAAACATGGTGGGGGAGTAATTTTAGATTCCTGTGAACTCTTCAAAAATATGTTGAAGTCTTACTTCTCTATCCACTCACTTGGGGAGTCGAGAACAACAGAGAGGATTCATGATTTTTTTTTCTTTTTTTTTTTTGTTGTTGCAGTCACCATTTAAGTGCTCCATAATTGATCTTGTATAATTATCCCAACACGAGAAAATTAGGTGAATGGTTGTTTTTTTGACTACTTTTTAAATAAATGACAGAATTTTTTATTTTTTAAATAAGTTGTTGAATTTTTTTTATTTTAACAAATTATTTTTTTCAGTAGTCAATAAATGATTAACTGACGGTCTTATTAAAACAGAAAAAACCAAAGACAAAAGACCCCACATAGATAAGCTACCCAATTACAATCTAGTAAGATGAGCATGAGCACCGTTAAATAAAATAACAGAAATGACAGTTGTAACTCAGATACACCTAAAACCCAAAGAACATCTACCCGAAACCCGCTACTGGTGAAGAGAAACTCATAATCCTCATCAGGGTCATGAAGGAACAAAGAAAAAAAAATTATTTTAAATTATTTAACAAAATAAGAGAAGTATTGCTACTTTTAGAGAATATTTGATAGAGAGATTCGTTTAATGATTCGTAATTCGCTACAGTATTTTTTCTCATAAAAAATACACATAAATCAAAAATAATTTAAATCACGTAATTTAAATCCTCCAACCAAACGTACTTTTCTTTTTTTTTAAATAGTTGTTTATCGCTTTTTCTTTTTCTTTTGAATGGGTGAGAGAGAGAGGAAAAAGCGGCACTAATCCTTTGAGTTTGAGTGCAGCTAAAAGTGCAATGCCAAAATGGTTTGGTATTTTTTAATTATTTAATAAAATAAGAGAAGTACTACTTTTTAATGTTTTTCAAATAGTTGTTTATCGCTTTTTCTTTTTCTTTTTCTCTTGAATGGGTGAGAGAGAGAGGAAAAAAGGGCTCTAATCCTTTGAGTGCAGCTAAAAAGTGCAATGCCAAAATAGTTTGGTATTTTTGACCGTGAGATTTTAACGAAACGGCTCCCAAAATCACACTCCACCGGTAAGTAAAAATGGAGATTGTACCGTAAAATACTTTACACACCCAAAATAAAACTATTATTTCAAGCAAAGATAAACATGTTTCCATTCTCGGATTGAGTGCTACACTGAAAGGATAAAAAAAAATCCTTCCTTCCCCGAATCAATATTGGTTGAACAGTTTTCTTTGCATTGAATTGTTTCTCTACATTGATCTTGATATTTTTACAAGATTTACAATAGTAATGTTCACTTTAATTGAATGAAAGGTTTTTTATGAAAAAATAATAAACCATTTTATGATTTTATCGCTTTTATAAAATCACAAATAATATTTACATAAAGTAGCCTGAATAAGTATCGCAAGACCCAAACTAATCCCCACATGATCATCCCAAAAAAAAAAAAAAAACCCCACAATTAAAGATAGCTAGGAAAGCTCAGAGTTTTTACCAGAGGGATTAGGAAGACAAAGTTTGATTAAGTTTAACATAGAAAGTAGTTTTAATTTTATTTCCCTTAGTATTTTAATAGAGTTTAAAAATAAGTCCATAGTTGATATTTAGGTTGCTCCTGTTGATTGTTACTTCCCATTTCTCATTATTTTTTATTCCCTATAAAAAAGGTCTAAACATTCTCATTGTAATTAAGACTTAGATTAATGATGTTGAATATTCACATTTACTTTCCATTTCTCATTATTTTGTATTCCCTATAAAAGGCCTAAACATTCTCATTGTAATTAAGACTTAGATTAATGATGTTGAATATTCAGATTTACTTATTATTGTTTATCTGCTACTCTTTTTAAATTCTAAACTCCCTTTTTTTCTCTCTCTAATTTCTCTTCTTTTTCTCTATCTTTGCACCATGTTCTAAGGAACACAGTCAAGGAGTTGTGCCTTTGCAACAAGTCCAAGGATAAGTCCTATGAATTTAAAACCCAGATTTACAATTTCATTGATACTTACTTATTCAGCTTAGAGATTTGAATAAAACGCTTGTATGTGTTTTTTTTTTTTTTTTTTTTTGACAACATTTGCATAAAAATAATCTGAAGGCCAAGAAAAAGTATAAAATTTTGCTATAAAAAGGATGTGCACAACTTCACTTAGTACTATTTCTAACAAATAGCTACAAAGGCAAAATATAAAGTTGGGTATACGTTTGTTTGTGATAGATTAATGGATTTAGCCTACTTGTCTACCAATCTAATATCATTATTAATTCCCTGAAAGATCAGCTAAGGAGTTATTATTATTACCAAATTTAATAAAACCACTTTGCTTATACGGAGATTTAGCAATATACTAAGCAAGTTTTTGCTATGACTAGACTAAAGCATATTTGCGATGAC